ATTGTCTGCTGGATTATGGACAAATTAATTAACGTCTAATGTAATCCTAATTACAGTTTATACACAAATTAAGGATTCTTTACTGATGTGTCAGCCTTGTATTTAACATAACAGTTTTAATTTCTTAATGCTTTTACTTTTCAAACACTCGTGTACAGATCCATCCCTGGTCAGAAGAAAAATATGACAGAGAAATATTCTAGGTCAGTTGCAAATTTAAATATCTTTCTTTTGAATATTCAAATATTATTGGAAGCAGGGAATCAGGTCCACATCCAAGCAAGGCAAAGGTTATATAAATCTATTGAAATGACAGTGTTGCCCCTGCTCTTAAGCCAGGTGTCTCATGCCATAAGGTAACAATTGCCTTGCTTGGATGTAGACCTGATTCCCCACTTCCAATAATATTTGAAATGTCAAAAAGAAGAAATCAGCAGTGAACAAGAAAGTTGGAGTGGCAGTAATTGTGGCTTACAGCATTCTGTGCCTTTGATGGGGTCTGGCAGGCCAGTGCAGAGTCCTGGTGTGTGGGGCACAGCAACTCTCCATCTGGAGCCCAGGCTGTCACATGCTGTGTATTCGTAATGGTATTCAGACTGGAAGACAAAACAGAGAGACCAAATAACAGGGTGTGCATTTAGCACAGATGACAGACAATTCTCTTCTTATTTCAGAAAATTGTTTCTCTGCAGGGCATAAGAGAACTTTATTATTTTCAAATCTATAAACTACAGTACTGCAGGGAGAAAAAAAGAACCAGTGTCCTAGAGATTTCAGATGAGATTTGACAGCTCTGACAAGAAAATAGCATACAAAACATATCATGGGCCAGCCTTCAAGTTTCAATTCATAGAGATTTATCATCTGATGATCTAAAACACTTACTTCTAATCTGCAACAGTTTCTACAGAGGTAACCCTTTAGCCAAGGCAGCAAAAACGGCTGTTTTGTAGCATCTTAAAGACTAAACCACAACCATTCTTGGGAGATTGCCATCAGATGCATCAAGTATTTTTCTTGCAGGCTATGGCTCCAAGACCTGGACTGCAAAAAATTTAGACGACCACTAGACATCGTCAAGAGATATAGAAAACTCTCTGCTGCCATTTAGTGGTTGTCTGGATGTTGGAAGCCCAGAACTCTAGCTGTACTACAGACAGCTGCCTATCCTAAAATGCCTACTAATCAGCAACAACAGATTATGCTACTTT